TTTTTAGTTGTTTTAATATTTTTCTGATGTAGAAAATAAATTTTATGTTGTATTTATTTTGAAAAATAATACATTTTTTGACTAGCACCTTTTAAGGCATTTTAAAGTGTTTTGTGAGTACAACAAAAACAGCAACGTATTACTGAAACATTTTATGCTTTTGAAAGCAAACTCTCGGTAATATTTAGTAAAATATACAGATAATACATAAAAAAATAATTTAAAAAAAAAATCATACATTCTTGTTTACAGACGAACATACAAAATAAATCTTTTTGTTAAAATACAAAATATAAGCAAAATTGCACATACTTCTATATAACCACATATGACAGCATATATTAACATACATATGTATGTGATAGTGAATAGTAGCTACCACAACAATGCGTACAAAAGCAACATTGAAAATTACATACGCTCTTTTGTGCTACTTATTTATATGCATTATCTGCACTTACAAGTAGAGGCTCATACATTCATAACTGCACGTGTGCGTATGTATGAAGAGTGCATACTATTCATGGCTAAATGCTAGTGGCTGCAACTGCGAAATGGCGTGATTGTGGATGCTCTTACATATTATACATAGAACACATTCATATATGCAATATGCACAAGAATGCATTAGGGGCGTTCTTAAAGAAAATAAAATTTATTTTTATTTTTTAAAGTTTTAAAATATCATTATAACTTTATTAAGAACATCTGTAATTTATTATGTTTGTTAATCAAATCATTTATTCAATAGTACTCAAAAATAAAAAATGTTTTTATAATGCTAAATGGTTCTATAGTAATTTGGGTTTTCATTTCCGTTGTCTAATTCTTCTTATTATAAATTCACCATCACCAAAGTGTTATTTTCGAAATTTCTAAAGAAAACAGTGCACGGAATTATTAAATTAAGTGAATCCAGGAGAACAATTTTGTAAGCAAATAAATCCCTTGACAATCAGTTGGTAAAAGACATTTAAATCCAAGCTCAAGTGTTTTGGCATTCAAAAAGACATAAGTGTAGCATTATGTTCCTAGCGCCAAACAGCCACAAAACTAAACCTAATCTGTCCTAAAATTCGGACATCAATATAATATTTTGTTTCTATCTATGCAGTTAAGTTTTAGTTATCATATGTAAGCTTTTGTTACACTTTATAAGTCCTACCCTTGCAATTTGCAATAACTTTCTATACGCCGCTTCGTGATGTTTTGAAAGCTCTTAGGCAGTCATGGCAGACAGTGTGTATTCATATTAGCCTAACAATGGTTAATTTTTTAATGGATGCCTTGTAGTTATTCTACGTGCATTCGACTACATAAACATAAACATATTTATATATTTATAAATATCTTGGCACAATACTTGGAGTAACATACACAAATGTGGAATCTTTTTGACGAAGTAACATATTGAATAAAGTAAAGTTTAGAACTCTTTAATTGCAATCCGCTTATGTAGCGAAATGGACGTAACGGAACTATAGACATAAACATTTTACCATAGAGGCGGCTTAGTGGAAATGAAAGCTATGTAAAAATGTTTTAATCTCAGAAAAGCTGGACCATCGTCAATGACTGGAAAATATTTCAAATTGAATGCCAATAATTTATCTTTTATTGGCGATATATATTATATATTTTCGGTATCATCAACTGCAGATAAATAAGTGTCGCTATTCAATCAAATATATTAGAACATCAGTCGATTATTTTTATAGCAAACTTGATGAGAGACGAAAGTGCTATGGAGAATATCTATTATGCAGAAGTGAAAATATTTTCTTGAATGGGACTATGAGCGGCAGGAAAACCTTGCAGCGTTCTCGTATTTTGAGAATGGTGATTTGGCTTGGAAGATGAAGAACGTTCTGGGTGAGAAAGAAGGTCGGGAATCGGAAGCATTACTCGACGAATATTATGGCAAAATGCGAAGAGCTCGCAGAATTTTTGGAAGTCACTCAAGCAGCCATTTCAAACGTTTAAAAAGACGTTGAAAGAGGAACTTGCATGTCAGAACTGCTGCTTGAACGCTACAAAGAGAAGTTCAACCTTAAACGAAAATCATCGTATGTGATATACTGGTCAACCAGCCAAATAAACGGCAAAGCCGAATATCCATGATGCCAAGGTAATGCGCTGTATTTGGTGGGATGCAAAGGGCGTGCTGTATTATAAGGTCATAAAACCAGGGAAAAACCATTAATGATAAACGCTACAGACAACATCTTAACAAATTGAAGCAAGCGATTGTCGAAAAACGCTCGGAATTTACAACTACACACGAAACAACAGTTTTCTATTCAGATAACTTGTCTCACCCGCCTTATAGCCCACGCCTTGTCCCTTTTGACTATCATTTGTTCCGGTCGATGCAGAGCGCCCTCACTGGAATACGGTGAAATCAGAACAGGGTATCAAAAACTGGCTTGATTCATGTTTGGCGGGCCAGCTGGCGGAGTTCTTTGAGGATGGAATCCAAAGATAGAAGATGTTAAGTTGTTCAAATGGAGAATACCAATGTACATGTTATTCTTAAATAAACGTTGACATATAGAAAAAAACAACTGCATAAATATACATATTTATAGATCCAATATTAGTTCTAGGTTAGGTTTAAATTTGTAGCCTATAAAACTACAATCAACTTTGGCAAAGTTGCGCTTTATCGGACGTGGCTTATTTGCAAGGGTATAAAATTGATTTGGAAGAATAACATAAATCATATACAAAGTCTATGACTTAAATATAAAGCGCAAGAAGCCAGTCTATAATACGCATACATAATAAAAATTAATTTTTGCCTTATGTGCTGTCACATAAATTAAAGATATATATACTCAATATATTAAAATGTTTATATTAAAGTGAGGTGGCTGTAGTTAACGGCAGTTGTTTTATTGTTGCTGCTACTGTCATGGCCTATGGTAAATTGAGATATTATTTTTATGGCCAAAATTACAAGCGAAATGTGCCATTTATGCGTACAACGGGCAACACAAATACAAGCCGTTATTCTGGGCTATTGCACAGTGGTTCAGATTTTATTTATACTCGAGTCGTCTAATGACATAATGTAATTAATCACTACTTATTTACAATGTGCTGCCCAAATTTTGTTTTCTTCTTTGTGTCGGTTGTTAAAATACAATTTTAATGAATTTTAGTTCATGGAATTTTAATATGTTTTTGAAATTGCTTCGTTGTTAATTTGCTATACAGAGGTGTGTGAGTGTATGGGTGTACGAAGTGGTGTGGGTGGTTCGGTCCGTGAGCAGGTTAATGTTTGTGTATATTGGTTTATGTGCAAATAGAGTTGTGCTAGTGCAACACCAGAAGTGTTCGTCCAATTAAAAGCGAATGTTGTTTACTAATGATTTATTTATAGTTAAATTGCTGCCGCCAATCAGGCATCGAATGTCTGCTATTATATCTGGTATATATACATATATACCATATATACAGATATTACACTTGCAGTACTATTTGTCAGGCTTATGGTGGTATTAACGGGAATAGCCGAATGATATTCAACAACTTTGTGATTTGTCATTGCTTTCAAATACTGAAAAGAAGGCGGATTTTTATTTGTTCTAAGAAAAGTTTTTCTAACAAAAATTTTATGATGTGAAAAATACAGAGATTTTAATTAAAATACACAATAAATAGCTATTGAAGAAAATAGCGAGAATTCGGCATTTGGAAAAACCCCTAAAAATATTGCAACATACATACATATTATTGCTTAACAAAAATGTAACTTATTTTAATATATTATTATATTCGAGAATTTAAATTTGTCTGACTGTATCGTGTAATGACTGAGAATTCTCATGTAAATTTTGATGTAAAAAATCTGAAATGAATTAAACAGATATGTTATTGATAGGGTGTTAATTTACGTCAGGAGCTTATATTTAATAAGTGCTGTTTCCGCTTGTAGTATGCTGTAGCGATAAGTTGGTTTAAAGTTATGTAACAGGGAAAAAAGAGGATGGATTATTCTCGGCAAACTTCACTTCCGTACCCTATTTCCTTTTCTTTTCATAGCCTTTTCTGCATGAAGCATGATAAAAAACTTAATATCATTAATCTGGGGTTGTTCAAATTCAGAACAAAAAGTTTTTATGTATTCTCCTAGATCCCTACAATAAAATCGGTTGAGGTATAGATTTCTCTCTTTCATACAGCCTCTACCAATAGGGATGACGTGATTTACCAGCTCATAGCGGACATGTTTATTTACGTATTTGTCAAATTTTGTTAGTGTATTCAGCAGGGTCATTTCAACACGTCATGTTTCACTTTAGTACCACGCTTGGAAATTGTCCAAGATTATTACGCAAATTCACGTTTTCCGGGGACTGTAGTACGAGCTCCTCGCGCAAAACACGATCGTCATAATGCTGCTTCTGAGCGCGTATTGAACGCATAATTGCAAAATTCTAAAATGATTATAATCTCCACGGTAGTGTACCACTTTTCCGACAAAGAAAAGCCCGTAGTGATGGGAATATTGCTGCTGTTCAGGCCAGTGTTGAGGCCAATCCGAATCAGTCGGTTCAACGTCGTTCTACATAGTGGGGTCTCCGCGATGGCAACATGAGAGTACTTATTTGATTTTTTTGATATTTGATAAGCTAAATAATTGAATGTTCGAGCTCCAACTGTATATAGGAATACTAAAAATATTTACGCCCTTTCAAGCCCCTACCCAACAACCTGTTGTTGTTATAATGCATCTAATATATAAGTAGACATTACTTATATGTATGTATTGTATACACTTTACTTCACAAATTTATGAGTCTGCCTCATTTCGTCTGATGCTCTAGCCTCAATCAATCTTGCCGATAATTGATAATTGATTGTGTCTACTACACAAGCTAATTAAATGTTCGCGCCATAAGGAAAATATACCTATATATATTGTAATTAATAATATCCTCATAATGCCAAGTATTCATTGTCCATAATAAAATGTCTTCATAAAATTTACTCACTTTTGGTTTTTTGGCATATGCTCCAGTTCGTGTGTCGCGTATGGTCGCTATGTCCAAAATATCCATTTCATTATTTTGATCAATCCAATATAAATAGTATCCTTTGGGATCCACTCGCATAGTGACCGGTGTGCCAAAGGCTGAATCCTGTAATTAAATGAAATCGAAAATAAATTAGTGAATACAATGTAGCACCAAAACAGTTAAATTAATATAAATTAATGTATTAAATATAAAGACTGAAAGCAAACAAATGTCCAGCATTGTTATTAAATACAATAAAAACGTATGTAGTATATACGATGCTTAATTGACACGGCACACTTGCTGCATAGTACGATCCATAAAACAAATATAACTAAGAAGAAACCGTAAAGCATTTTACATCTGCTATTAAAGATTAGATCAAAATAATAAGGTTTCTCCTTGATATCTATGCTCTGTAACGGCCCAATACTAATACGTATATAGCTATTACATCCCTCTAGTTTTATTAAATCAGTCTTAGTCTGTTCTTTCCCGTTTAAAACCAGTTGGGCAAAATGAAACCAGCCTATTCGTTATAAAGGAGCTAGATGACGTTATGGACCGATTTTTTGATACCAAAAAATTTCACATATCTGAATTAATTATTATAAATTCACCTAACGGTTGTAACACCTAACTATAAGTTTTTGGTATAAGGTATCGCTGTGGAAAAAGGCAACTGTGAGCTGAAAATATGAAAAAAGTGTGAGAGTCTCTGCAACATAATGAGCATATCTCAAAAACCTCGTAACCTTTTTCAACCAATATTGCCGAAAGGAAATCTTCTAGCACTTCTTCACGTACTTTGAATGTGGGTTAAATCGAACGATAACCACGCCCACTCCGTATATAAAGGTTATGTTGAAAATAACTAAAAGGGCGATAACTCAGTAATTAAATCCATCAGAGATGTTAAATTTTTCACCTGAGATGGTACGGGAGGGCTTTATAGGAGTCAGTAACACATTGGCAAATGGGCGCGACACCGCCCACATTTTGGTGAAATCTTATATCGCAGGACTAAAACTTTAAGCAAATAGTGCTTCCGAATCATCTCACGTATTGTAAAACAGTCGAAATCGGACCATAGCTTTATAGCTTATTTTATACTGAAAATATCGTTAAAACTCTGAGGTACATTATTGAAATTCAGAAATAGTATTTTCCAGATAATAGAGAACCCTTTGTAATTTATAGTGTTGCATCACCTGAAAGTATTTCTAACCTCTGAGCTTTTAAATTGCGGGAGTATAAAATCTTTCTTACTTATTGAAACTGATCCTCTGTTATCGCAATTCTAATGCCTTTTAAATGTTTATAATGTAGAAGAGAAGACGTGATCATTACCCAATTTTTTCAATATTAATGAAGTGCAATGCCTTTGGGAGCAGACGTATTACTTTTGCTGCATAATTATATCTATTTATTTACTATTGACTAACATCATTCTATGGCAATGGCAATGTTCCAATTCCATCCATTTGCAATGCCAAAATGATCAAGAGTGTCACCATGGTAAATTTAATGTTTAAAAATTTTATTTATTGCACAGTTTTACAAACAAATAAATAACGAATAACATTTAACCATAAATAAACAAAATAAAATGATTCTAGAAATTTTGCTATTTTCTTTGTCAGTAGCCGTCACAATCAACTTTCCAGAAATAAATATTTATCGATTCAGCCGAAAATTAAATGGAAATAATAATATTTATTAAAGTCTATTTTCAATGCAAAGTAAATATTTTTCATACGGTAATGTTTAAAAAACATCATAACACCTTTTTGACAGACTCACTAATGAACAATCAGTGAAAAAAGTAAAGAGCGCAAAACGAAGAAAATTTTACTTATCTTTTTGCAAATTATTTTATTTAACAGTAAAGAACGCGGAAAAGAAATCATTTGAAGAACCTCAGCTGAATATATATAATATATATGGAACTTAAAAATTATTGTTTTTAGTTAAGCTCTTCTTCTTATTTTAACTGTTACGCGTAAACAGCTAAGTTGCCAATATTTTGACAAAATTATTCAAAGAAATTATTGATTTTAACATAATCACATAATTATCAACATAAAGTTGCCTCATTACAGTTAAGTTAATTTACTACTTGGTTAACGATAGACTTAGAAGTACAAAGGAAAGCCTAAATGCTGTGTTTTAAGCTTTCACACAAAAAGCTCGGTGAAAGCTTTTGTAAACTATTTTTTTAGAGATAAAGTAACGAAATGTGTTAAGCGTGTGACTACCACCCGATGGGTTTTGGGTCAAAATTCTGTTTGCGAGATTTTATATTTAAAATTATTTACATTATTTTTCCAAATCTGTAAATGTCACTCCTCAAGTTGTGCTACACCTACGAGTGCGTGCATTTTTGACTTGAAAGAGTTTAACATAAATTTCTGCTGTCATTCGAACTACATCCATCATAAATTATGCATGCGCCGATAAACTGACGCTTTTAACATTAAGTAGTTTACAACAAAGATTTGTAAATGTGGAATAATATTTACATCTGATGCATTACTTTTAAAAATGCATGAATAATTCAATTTTAAAACTTCCGCTATGTCGGGTTATTGACACATCACTCATTTATGCTACTTAGTTCTTTTTGCTTTTTCGAATATTAAATTCACAAACAACACATACCCTTTTGAGGCAATTACCTCCTTCTTCCAAAGGTTAATGACACGAGGTGCCAAAAGAGATCGCGTGAGATGATCTAGTACCACGCTACTATTCAAATTTATGTACACCGACGTGAATAACTTAGCGAAACGTTTAAGATGCCTCCTTTATGGTGCACGTAAAAATGTGGCAAACACGAAAAAGAATTGTCGAATTGTGCAGCCACCTAACCCTCCTTTGCTCTTGGCCGTGAGACACGTTTTACATTCATGCCAAAAATTAATAAATCCATTGAAGAAAATCTCTCCTTTCAACATCGAATTTTCGCACATTAATTCCAATTGGATTTTTTGCATTATTGAAAATGAAATGAACGTCGAATAATGTCTGATTTATCGTCTCAGCATGCAGACTCTGCGCTATTTGGGGCATATAAACGCATATACACACACATTCGCATACATGGCTGTGTAAATAAGACGAAGTCAACCAACGAAACGAAACGATACGGGAAAATCTTATGAAATTCCAATTAAATGCATTTGTAAATAAAGTCTGAAAATTCGCCAAAAGAAAAACGCAGCGTGTCTACGGACCCACGTATTGGTATAATATGGCGTAAAAGCAGCAAGCGAAGAAAAAATATATAATATATGTATTTAAGTGTTAAGGAAACGTATTAAAGTGTGTATATCCGCTTTCAGCTTTGATATTCAACCGTTTGTAGGCGACGGAAAACGTGTGTTACCACTTAGGTGCAGCGCACACGGAAGCTGACAAGTGAGAAAATCGAATGCTATCCAGACATCTCAAATATGGTGAAGTGGTTTAGAGAAAAACCATTTAATTTCAAAATATCGAATTAATTCGTTCTATTTAATATTATTTTTCAATTACTTGAAAATGCTTGGCAACACCCAAAACGCATATGTTGAGTGCGTTGCAACTATTCGAACAAGTATGGTTTCGAATACCCAACATTTAGATATTTGAATTTAATTAAAAATTCAAAATGAATTCACAAGACCCTCTTTCAATTCTCCAAGCAAAAAGTAGAGACGAAGCTTTTTACTTAGATCCCGAATGCCTTGAATATAGATTTGTTTTTCGAAAAAAAATAAAAAATATTAAGTAGGAACCTTTTTTTCCATTTTTCATTTCCATATGTCTACAGCAATACACCGATGGCTTAAAAATAACGGAAAAATTGTTGATGGGATATAAGGATCGAGAATCAGACTATCACTGCTCAAGCAATAGCCTGTCGAAATTTTGCTGTAAGTCGAGGTTTTGCTGTAAGTTGGTGGACAAAGATTATCTTAGTGTCTAACATAAGAAACAACTTCACTACCTATTACTTTAGTGAGAGTCGCCATTTTCTTTTATGGATCGCTGGATATAGAAGTACAGGGGAAAGTGAGATGTTAAACAACCGTTTAAGAAATCTGCGGGCGATCTAAGCCGATGGAATCGCAACTAAACTTGAAGTGGGAGCACACAACTTAAAAAAATAGTTAATGACTACAGCCTTCAGGTCTTAAGCAACTGAAAATGTTTAATAGATAATAAAACCTGAACTAGCACAGGCCGAATAGCAACTAACTAAAGAAAGAAGAAAAGAAAACTATCACAGGTCACTGTAAGTAACCGCAGAGGAAACTGTTTTGAAAATATATGACATCTTATTTTTGAGTTAAGTGTTAATACTCTATACCGTTAGTGAACTTTATAGTTTTAGAAATGTAGAAAAAAAAATTACTGACATTAAAAATGGTGTATAAGGTGAATATTTACCAAATTTAATTAAAGACGAGGTTTCGGAATGTGCAATTTTCTTTACCTTCCTTACCCTTGGAAAAATAAGGTTATTTAGTTTAATTATGATTCTTAACTTTTTATATGAGATTGGCCTTAAAGCTAAAAGGATATGGTAGCTAGAGAAAGATATCAGATAAGATAAGTTTTTTTTTTTCTTTTACGCTTTACATTTGATAAGATAGTATCAAACATTAGTTCACTATGTGATTTCCAGCGCCGCATGTTAATAAAAAATCTTTGTAGACATATTGGTCTCAACACTGCTCGTATCCTCACAAATTGCTGTGGTATTTGATGCTTTTTTCCGCCTAAACTTAGTCCTCATTATTTTTTAGTATCAAAAATCAAATGGAAAAGTAGCTTTAATTAAATATAAAAAATATAAAAATATATAAATAAAGTGGTCTGAGCATAAGCTACTTTATATTTACTTTTCTTTACTATTTTACATTAAAAAAAAAATTAAAAATCTATAGGTATATTTCTTTTTTCCTATCTTCACAACATTTTTTCAAGTTAAGCTTTTTCCCAAAACTCTCACTTTTGTTTTTGTTCTGCTGATACTAACTGCGCTGCTTTGCTATACAGTTGTTGTCTTCGTTTCAGTATCTGACAAGAGAAGGCTATCTAAGACAATGGATGCAAATTTTATGAGGCCATTCCGAGCGACAGGCGACTATGTTGTTCTTTTTAACTACCTTTCAGCACTCCGTCTTTATTGTTCAATGAATGCTTTGTTATTTTCCATTTTAACACTTCTTTCCATTTCTTTATGCTGATTATGTCCGTTTATTGAAAATTAAGGTGCAGCATTGTTTCATGACAACCAAAGCAATCAAAACCTACGCAGGAGGTCGTCTGTCAAACATCACTAGGTGGCAACCGGAACAATATGAAAGGCACACAATAAGCTTCTTAATGAAAATGTTACACGAAACGTCAAAAATCTCAATTTTTTTAATGGCAACATAACTTCATTTTGGGTCATATTTCAAAGTGAGAGTATTTCGTTAATTACTCAAGCGTATTCGAGTGCTTTCAAGTGCTTTTCTGAGGTGTAATTGCCTACATGTTGTTCAACACACGCACCTATTTGAACACAGCATGGCTGGCTGGTCTCATCTGTCACAAACAGTTACAATTCGGCAACAAGGCAATTGAAATGTTAACCCACACAAGTAGCAACACTTGACTCGGAGACTCCTGTTCACTTAATATAAGCACTCAGCCTTGATTCTGCACACTAATACAAACATATAAGAATACTTGTTTGACTACTGTGCTGTAATGTATGGCCAGTGACAATTTGTTTTCGGGATTCAAGTGTTGGTGTTAGCTAGTAGTAGAGTGTTGTTTACATAGCTTCATTTTTAGACGTTTTATCACCAAAAACTAATAATGTGTCGACAAAAACTTGTTATTTGACAAAGGGCGGAACGAGGTACATGTTTTGAACCACCTCCGATGAGCTGATTGGTGTTTATGCGACAAGAGATCGTTCGGAACATTTTTTATTATACCAGTACCTACTGTATTCGCTGTGATAAACTTTATAAACTTCCATTGACCCAGAAACCCATAAAATTAACCAGGTCGGTTTATCAAAAAACTCGTTTGGTTTAATTGTCCAGGAGTTCCACTAACCTTAACACCTAACGAACGAATTCTTCAAGAGTGGATGACATAGTGAACTTAACTCATCTGCTCGAACTAATTAAAAATTTTATGTTTCAGTTTTTATGGTTATTTCAAGAACTTTATTCAAGTACACAGCATTTTTTTTACAAAGCAGAATTATGCAAATACCCAATTGAACACTGATTGTCTTTAAAATAATTTATTGCCCATTCAATACAAATATTTACTCAAGTATAACTTGCCCTTTAACTGCATTCCTTCATTTGCAAAATTCGAACCGTAATGGTATTTGCTTTGTGAATTATTAAAACATAACACCGAGGGAAAATGCAATTGTAATTTTAACATTTCACTTTCATGTCAAATAAAATATTCATGTTCTACGCTTAAATACAACACATCCAATTACACGTATCTCGTTAAAACGCACTTGTTTACCGATACGCGTGTGTGTGCGAGTATGTGTGTATGCAGCTTGCAGACACCAAGGAAAAAACTGCACAATATAAATGCTTTCACGGTTTTATGGCTTAAACAAAACACAAAAAAGGGAACAAAATCAATTACAAGAGCGCTATATATATATATATAAGTTTATATGTAGATATGCATATGTAACAATCTGTATATATATATGTATATTATCATTGCGCTGATGTTATGACACGCCGATATTAGCATCTGTACCCAATTCCCACGATGTGCGCACAAGTTGAATACCATTGTGTTATGTATAATATTAATTTGTCGCCGTTATGTATTTAGTGAACTTGACAGTTATGACCAAACTTTAATGATCGTTTTTGATATGTGTAGGGGAGTTGTAAGAAAAAAAATTAAGGAATTTGCCATTCCATCGTATGGTAAAATATTTATGCGGTTTGTGACTCTCACCTTCATCAATCATACGACAAATTCACTTAATTTTTTTCGTTTGTGAATCATCACACTTTTTATCCATAAGCTGCACATTTACTATTCGTTTACCACTAATCACATTCATCATTTAAATTATTAAACTGTTTAATGATTAATTATGCTCATTTATTTAAGTAATGGCAATGTAATGTAATATTAAATACATAACAATTGTCGCTAACCGCAACCGAATGTGTGACAAGTGCTTGTAAATGATATGTCACGCATACGCCCCGTCGCCCATTTTGGTTAAACAAGTATATATGGTATGTTCAAATGAGTGCGCTAATTTCAGAGAATCACAAATGAACGCGCGAAAATATTAAAATTCCACAGTACGCGAGTATTTGTAGTATTTATGTGGTCTAAAGCTCCAATAAATAATTAGTATGCTACAGTAACATCAAAGTGAAATACTTAGTGTTGAATTGCTAGTAATAAGCAGCCAAATTGAGAGTGAAACCTTTAAATTATTCTCACAAAGTGATAAAATCGCCTAGCACTTTATCACGCAAGCAAATTTCGACCTAAGCCATCTGTGCAGTTGCAATTCGATCATAAGAAACCAAAATTTTTCAAATGTTATTTTATATATTCAGTTATGCAATTATTCAAAATTAAAATAGCACAATAAAAAAAAACTTTTAACTTTGATTACACCGAAGCTATACTACTCTTCACAAATAAAAAAAAATGTCTTACAAGGAATTAATTTGTCAGTTTGTATGACCGCTATATGTTATAGTAGTCGGATACGAAAATTTTTTTTCGGAGATTCAACCGTTGCCTCAGAGAATAGTCCATGCAAAATTTCGTGAAGATATCTTGTCAAATAAACATTTTTACCACAAACGAATTTAATTTTGATCGGTTAGTTTTTATGGCAGCTATTTGCTATAGTAGTCCGATACTGGTACTTCCGACCAATGAGCAAGAAAATCTCTCTGTTGTTAAAAAATTTAACTGTTTTAAGTACTGACGAATTTTTGACGATACTTGTAGTTCTAAAACTAAGTCAAGATTTTGCAAACACTCTTCTTTTAACTTCTTTACTACTAAGCAAACTTGGATACCACTGTAATTGGTAAGAGAACAGTTAAACTATACCCGCATTAAGTTCAAAGTCAAGATAAAAATGAATTAGGAAATTAAAACGGAAATATTTTAATATCTCTTCGGACCTTTCAAATAAAGAAAGCTTCAACCATTCGTTTTATGATCTGTGCCAGTGCTCGCGTCAGATTATACTATTTAAAGTTTCGCTAAGAATATGATTAGAGACATTGAAGAACTGTAATTGGACCACTACTTGTGCGAGCAGGCAAACTATTCACCTTTTTTTTTTTTGAACAGAAAAACATTTTTATAGAAAAAATGGTTTTAGTATTCAACATAATTGTCATGGTAGATTACTTTTGTAGTACGAACTATTTTGCTTCAAATAGGCACCAGTATCGGTGATTACCTCTTTACTTCTACTAAATTTCTTTTCAATGACTATTCTTTAGAGGTTTGAGAACAGCAAAATGTCACTAGGACTGATGACGGAGCGCAGTTCATGGAATGTTTCCATTTTTTTCACCCCCTCTTATATACAGCTTTTGCATAGAGTCTTTAGAGTTTTCGCTGAACTTCATTTCGCTTTACTGCAAAATAATTTTATGGATTTTTTGATATTTTTGTCGCCCCTAGCAAAGTAAGAGAATTTTAATTTTAGTGCTTCTTTAATACTCGAAGTGCATTTGAACTACTTTTTTTCAAATTACCAAACTGGCTTAACTCAAATTGCTATATCTCTCCAAACGATTGTCCGAAAGCTGTAAAAATGTATACCTTTTATCTTTTGAAGCATCCGAAACGACACTAATCTTTCAGCTCGCTTGATAAAAGACATAATATTAAAATGATTTATTCTTTACACCGGCTTCACAAAGCGGTATAAGGTCATAAAGCAATGGAAGTGTTCTTGGATTGTTCGACGGAAAGTTGCTTTTTAGGAGATTCATAAATTAGGATAACAACCACACAAGGAAAGTATCACCTAGTTTGGAACTAGAATCATGATAAAGTTTACTGCATAAAAATTCAATAGCATATAGGGCTATCTAAATATGAATTAGTGGAAAGAGCTAACGCAAAGAACAAAGTCTCTGCTTTCTAAAAACCAATAATTCCTTTTAAAATTGCTAAAATCGAAATCAGAATATGTCAATTCGTGAAATCTTTTCTAGGTGTACGAGGCGTCGATTTGATTAACGCATATTTGCACGGTTAGAACCCGAATGGAGTCAATAAAGTATGTTCCCAATAGCACTTGACGCAACTGTTTATGAAATGTATGAACACCACTATATAGGTTAATAACTTTAAATACACTGAAGTTTATTATTATGTCATAAATTTTAAACTACCATAACTAGTATAATCCATAATCCAGACGAGTTGTACGACATTAGCGTCATATATAATTTAATGCCACAATTTATGGTGGGTTTTCCATATCTGCTAATACAGTTAGATAGTGTTGCCTAATACTCACACAATTTGTTCAAACATATATACATATATACGAAAACTATTTTATTTTGAAGATATACAGGAAATTCTATTTAATACAAAATATAGTAAGCCCACTGAACATCAGTAATCCATTTAATGTACTGTGAAATCTCGGTATATACCGTTGGGCGGTTTTTTACAGCACATGGCAAGTAGCCCCACGAGGTAATACCAACCAATTCAGAGCCACCTTTCGTTTCATACACTAATGGACTGCCACCATCGCCTAAACAAGCCGATGTTTTGGCGCAAATTTGTTCAACACCTAGTGGAGCATCCTCTGGTAGTTGTTCACGGCACTGTTCTTCTGGCAACACTTCCGAACGGGCTACTTGCAATTCTTTTATGTATGCTGTTTCTGTAGGTTTAGTCAAACCCCAACCATAGGTCACAACTGTTTTGTTCGTATATGACTCCTTGCGGTATGGTAAAACAGCGGGACTCACATCAACACTGAAGTTGAAACCTTGAGAAAAGTGCAATAGCGCAATATCGGGTGAGCTCTCATCACTGACATTGAATAGCTTGTGTGAAAAAGCAAAGTCGATATTACGAATTTGTGCATTCTCAATATTGGAACGATCCTTTAAACCGGCGTAGACTGGCAGGCCAATCACATCTCCAGCTATACGCTCCAACTCTTTCAGGCAATGCGCCGCTGTCAGCACCCATTCCTTGCCAATGATGGCACCGGCACAGACATGTGCGTAGGCAATGGACGATACACTCAGTGAAACCAAACACGATGTCTTCAACGATTGAGACGCGACTTCACCGCCGATGATACGTGATTCTGGTTGGAATTCTTTAGCCGCTGCCACTCCATCTTCATAGAGCGAAGTATCTGGCTTTGCAAATACCGAGCCTATAAGCAGTAGTCCAAGCAAAAAGCACTTCATCGTCGCTATATAAATAGTTAAGTACTAATTGCGGAACTAATCCCACTGTTATAGCTTTTATATGCTATACCGGTATGTCGATAACAGTCTATATGATAAGATGTGATTAGCAGATTAGCTTATAGCAAAAGTTTGGTGATAACGCCCCAATAAATGAAATATTTATATATATGTATATATATATGACGAATATCAGCAATTTGACTTACTAAAAGGGTAGGAACGAGAGGTACTTGGGAAAATATTGTTTTAATATTGTATTGAATACGAGGCCAGTGCTTAGCCTCACCGTTCGATGGCGCTATACTTCTCGCAGACTGTCAAAATTTGTGGCCGGGGAGAGCAAATTTAGCATTATCGATGGGTGCCGTCAGATCATTTCGCAGCAGTGCTTGATGATGGGCATGAGTAATTCGAAGTAGATGCGATTTTGTGACTTTCGAAGACATATGGATCCAATGGTATAAAGAAGATATCAACGAACGGTTGAAACAGTAGATTTCACCCGGCCAAGCTGTTCCGAAGAATGCGAAAACTGCCTAGTCGGCCAGAAAGGTGATATTTATCGTGTGACATTTTTCTTGAAAAAGTCACTCACCGTGCAGAATTTTGAGTAAAATTATGAGGAGGCCTACCTTTAAGAAGCTGAAACTTCGCAGAGTCAAATGTATCAAGTTAATGAAACGAAAGTATTGAACTGTGAGCTTCTGAAAACTGTAGTACAGAAGCCCGAATTACTCCCGAATTCGCATTCGTATTAGGTACCATTCATAGAAAATAAAATTTTAAAGCATAGCTAAGAAATCATCATTTTGTTGAGAACCCTTATATGATTTGTAACAAGTGCAAAGAAATTGTACTAACTTTTTATACCCTGAAAAGGATGCATCGAAAACTATATATATATATATATATATATATGTATAAATATAAATGATCAGCATATCGAGCCATATCCGTCCGTCCGTCTGTAAATACGCCAACTAGTCTCTCAGTTTGTGAGATATCTGAAATTTTGTACATGGGCTTTTTTGTCAAAGAAGCTGCTGATTTGTCTGAACCGCCGATATCGGACGATATGTACTATAACATAGCTGCCATACAAACTGATCGATCAAAATCATGTCCAAAATATCTTCACGAAATTTGGCGTATATTATTGTCCAAAGTACCGATATAATTTCCGACAAATTTGCTCAGATCGGAGTACTATAGCATATATGTAGCTGCTATACAACAGAAGTTAACGGTGAACGTTTCTTCTTTTTCTTCAAATTTTCGGGTTCAAAGTGCAGACACAACGCATTTTACCGAAAATTTAAGCATTTATGATTCGCACTATAATTAAGTGTGAGTATTAAGATAGCAACTAAGGGATATGGGCTTTTGCTATGACATATGTGTAACTATGATGATTTTCGCACACGTGTGCTCGCAACCCCCTCGCAGGTGAGAAATTTATTATCTTTCGCTGAATTTTCATGCAGTTGCTGGTCAGACGCAAATAGAGTGCATTTCATTAAGCACACATACACCTGTCACAACTCCACAATGCACGCGACATACCTACCTACATATGTACATAGTAGAATGTGCATGAAGTGTGTTACAGGCGACGGTAAAAGTGATAACTGCAATAATAACGGTAAATGCAAAGCAATTTCATGCTACAGTGAAAATACGCTCGCCGCACAGTTTTACGCTTCGCTTTACGAGTAAGGTCACACAAAGGACGTAGCGAGGTGATGTTGAAACAGAATGATACACGCGGACCACCACTTCATATGTATATTTGTATATTCGCCCTTCGATATTGTGTAAAATCAGCGATTTTCTAATCCCACAGCGGCATCCAGCTCTGGGCAATGTTCGGTCCATAGCACTTGAGTAGAGCACATCCTAACCCGGGTCCTTTTGTCTATTCGAAAATGCTGTTATTCCTGGTGTTCGCTTTGTACGCACCGTCCACCATGCACACCGACTGAAATAACAACCCTCAACACCGTTAAAAATAGACAAATAGCTAGGAATATGTGAGTTAGTATGTATAAGCTGAAAGTCCTTTTTTCACTGAATCAACGAACTGTAAAACAACAACTTTCCACTGTAGCAAAAGCAGCAAGTGATGTCCATTACAGCATATATAAGTACATATATCTACCGTATATATATGTACATATACTATATACATATGTATACACATTATACATCTGCTTCATAATTCATGATTGAAATTTATTACCTCTGAAAATAATGTTGAATTCTATGAAAATTTTAAAGGGTTGCTAATATTATTTTTAACGTAAGTGTACTAGAGATATCAACACTGATATGGCTTGTGAGCGTAATAAATGTTTATAGTAATCGATAATAAATATAATTTTACTTCGGCGCCCTCGTCTACGTCTATTGTTTAATCGGGCTTCTTCTAATTTGTAGCTACTGATGAAAATATTATTATGCCCTTGATTTAGTTTCTTACTGTATTTCTAATTACCATTATATAATGACTCTCAGACTGAAATAATTTTATTATAGGTTTTTTTAGTCATCGTTTTTTCCAGATTTTAATTCACTGAAAATCGCGACATATAATCGGGGAGAGAGCAGCAAAATTTTATTCAATTCATTCCTTTTATACTCTCGCAACTTGTTACTACAGAGTATTATATAATAGTTTTGTTCACCTAACGGTTGTTTGTATCACCTTAAACTAATTGAATTAGACATAGGGTTATATATAATATATAAATGATCAGGATGTAAAAACGAGTTGAAATCCGGGTGACTATTTGTTTGGCCGTCCGTCCGCCTGTGCAAGCTGTAACTTGAGTAAAAATTCAAATATCTTTACGAAACTTGGTACACGTATTTCTAGGTACCGTAAGACGGTTGATATTGCAAATGGGCGTAATCGGACCACTGTCACGCCCGCAAAACGTCATTAATTAAAAACAAATAAATTTCCATAACTAAGCTCCACAATAAGATACAAGACCGTTATTTAATACACAGGCCCCCTAATAGGTTTAATGTTCATATCTCCTAAACCGCTCAAGCTATAATAACAAAACTCACTGAGAACAAATGTTTTTAGCAACTCTATCGACAGTGTGAAATCGGGTGACAACCTCGCCCACTCCCCATATAACGGCATTGTTAAAAACTACTAATAGCGCGATAAATCAAGCACTAAACACGCCAGAGGCATGAAATTGTATCTCTGGGATGGTATGAGATGACTTTATATCAAGGTAAAACTTAGCGTGAATAATGCGTTTGAAGTATGCCACCTTGTGATGAAAAATTGTCTAAATCGAACCAAAACTGGGGGCTTGCTAGGTACTGGCTATGTGGACCCCAGTGCCCATAGTTGACTTTTTACCGAAACTATCGGTCAATGTGTAAGATATATAATTGAAATTCATATAATAAAATAAACAAATGAAACTCTCGATATTAGTATGTTTTTGTGTCAAAAATGGGTTGAATCGGATCAATACTTCCTTTAATATACAAGGCTTTGAGCCTTGCAAGTTGCGAGAGTATAAAATGCACGGTTACATCCGAACTTAGAACTTCCCTACTTGTTTTTTTAATTTCTAATCCCGGCCAAAGCGGGACGATTAGTCAGCTAAGTCTAACCCGAGATCACTTTTAGTTTAACCAGCATATTTTATAAACTCCAGTCAGCAAGATTATTCTCGGCTATCTCTTTGTGACTTGGCACCCAGGTGACTGGCTCTTGGTTTCGAACTGATAGGCTATTCAGTAGTTCTATGTATACACTCCTGCCCTAATAGCGATGCAATCACGTAAGCCGAGATCGCTTTAAATGCCGCTTGGCTAGAAATTTATATCTACACACCAACTTATAGCAAAGACTTCTGCATGGAAAATGCCCGGAAAACGCCCTATAGGTGTGGAAAGTTTGTATGTTAGTAGTAGGCGATAGATATTTCGAATCGTTGGCTAACCACGAATAGTTTACAATAGTGTAGTAAATCAATTTAATTTATAGCTGCTTAATCACATCGTGTTTCGTGCTTTCACCCAAATAATTTGATAAGCTATTTTTTATCATTAAACACCTAACTATATAAACCGGATTAATTTCAATATTCGAAATTAGTTAGTTTTTGTACCTCCACCATGATGAAAGCTGTTGTTTTCTTAGCCACTTTTGTGGTGTGCGCCAGCGCGTCGAACGTAATAAATTTTAAACCCAGTTTGCCTACTGGTCGCATAGTTAAGGGTCAAGATGCTGTTGAACACGCTGCTCCATACATTGTGTCGTTGAGCTCGAGAGCCGAGAGACACTCTCACAGCTGCGGCGGTACCATCATCGCTAAGGATTGGATCGTTACTGCTGCTCACTGTATTTCAAGACCCGTTGGTATGGGCGTGGTTGCTGGTCTACATGAACGCGCCAACTTTACCGAGAAGACCCAATCGCGTGTAGTTGATTTTGGTTTGACGCACAAAAACTTCGGCGGTGGCGTTGGCCCTTACGACATTGCCCTGTTGCACGTTTCGGAACCCTTTGTGTACAATGAATTTGTACAGGCTGCTATTTTGCCACAACGCGAAGAGATACATTTCGGAGAGGCTAAACTTTATGGCTGGGGTCAAGTGAAGGCTTTTAACTTTAACGCCGCCAAGGTATTGCAAACCGTTACAACTGAACTCATTGAATACAGCGACTGCGAGGAAACACTCGGTGAAGATACACCCCTTCAACCATCTAATGTTTGCTCAGATTCACTACAAAAGGGTATTTCTGCCTGCAATGGCGATTCTGGTGGCCCTCTGGTGCAGGAACGTAAAGGCGTAGCATCTGAACTCGTCGGCATTGTCTCTTGGGGATACATTCCTTGCGGCTATGGTAACAGGCCATCAATTTACACTCGCGTTTCTGCTTACATCGATTGGATTGCGCAGGTCCAAAGTGCCTACTACATATTGAACTAACTCTTTATATTATAATAAAGTAAAATTTTGAAAACAAAATATTTAGAATATTTAAATATATGTATTCAAATCTATTCATTTGACTACAGGTCTTCCCCTTTAGGGTCTAGTTCAAAACCGTCTAGAGTAAAAAACATTAGATCTCACAACTTATGTTTCTGTTAAACTTGATTCGAATGGTTTAATTTGTATGGCAGCTATATGCTAGTCATCTGTTTTATACAATTTCTTCAGAGATGGGATTATTGCCTTAAATAATAATTTATGCCAAAGTTCGTGAAAATACCTCGTCAAATGAAAGAGTTTTCCATACAAGTACTTGATTCCGATTGTTCAGTTTGTATGGCAACTATATGCTATAGTGGTCCGATATTGGCCGTTCAGACAAATGGGAAGTTTCTTAGTGAGAAAAGGACGGGTGCAAAATTTAAAATCGATAGCTTAAAAATTAATAATATAATTACTAGTTTGTATATATACAGACCCATCAGACGGACATAGCTAGATCGACTCAGCTCATCATACTGATCATTAATATATTAGGGCAAGTGCAAATATATAGGGCAATAGTACTAGTGTTACGTGTCGCATCATGTCATACTATACGGCGCTAAAAACATGTTTATTCGCGCTAAAAGTTGATCTTTGACAGTTTTCCGCGAGAAAATTCGCTATATTTAAAAATTTTTCTTCGATCAAGGCGAAAAAGCAGCCAAAGCGGCTGAAAAAATTAGTTTAATTTATAGACCCGATACTGTAAATGAACGTGTAGCACAAAAGTGGTTTGCTAGGTTCCGTTCCAGTAATTTCCATGTCAAAGATGCATCACGCGTCGGGAGGCCTGTCGTCGAAAATTGCGATAAAATCATGGAAATAGTGGAAACAGACCATCACGTGAGCACTTATTTAATTGCTGAGGAACTAAAGACAAGCCAGAAAACCGTTTGGAACCATTTGCATAACCTTGGATTCAAAAAGAAGCTCGATGTTTGGGTGCCACGCGAACTAACGCAAAAAAACATGATGGACCGAACTTCCATCTGCAAATCGCTGCTGAATCGCAACAAAATCGACTGGTTTCTGAAGCGGATTGTGACTGGCGATGAAAAATGGGTCACTTATGACAACATCGAGCACAAACGGTTATGGTCATAGCTCGGGGAAGCGGCCCAGACGGTGGCCAAGACCAGATTGACGGCCAGGAAGGTTTTGCTGTGTGTTTGGTGGGATTGGCAAGGAATCATCTACTACGAGCTGCTCCCCTATGGCTAAACGCTCAATTCGGCCCTCTACTGCCAACAACTAAACCCCTTGAAGGCAGCACACGTCTTTGGTGACGCGCCAGAAGCTTCGGGAGCTCGAATGGGAGGTCCTAATGCACTCACCTTATAGTCCGGACCTGGTACCAAGTGATTACCATCTTTTTCTGTCCATGGCGAACGCGCTTAATGGTGAGAAGTTGGCCTCAAGAGACGCCTGGGAAAATTTTCTCTCCGAGTTTTTTGCAAATAGGGACGCAGCCTTCTACGAAAGGGGTAAAATGAAATTGGCATCTCGTTGGCAACAAGTTTACGAACAAAACGGCGCATATTTGACTTAAATCGGACAAATGTACAAAAAGTTTCCATCTTTTGAAAAATCAATAAAAAAAAACCGAACGAACTTTTTACAGGACCAATATATGTTTTATAGGGACTCCGACGTTTCCTTTTGGGTGTTACAAACTTCGTGGCAAACTTAATATACCCTGTTCGGGGTATAAATAGAAAACCGTTAGTCGGAGGACGTTCCCGTTATAAGTAAAAACTCATAATTGAGAGCCTTTGCTAGAGGTGTCGTCTATCAACCTATTTTTCCGAGTGCGAAGCGAAAAAAAGACATTCATTTATTTTGAGCCACCCTAATATATATAAATAGATATTATATATTATAATATATACTACTGCAATTGTGAGCAACTTAAAAATTTGTTAATTTTGTGATAATAAAAGCTTTATTAGCAAACTGTTAACTAAATTAAATAAACCATTGATCGAACCTTAAAGAGTATAGCATATCTGCAGGCGGGGACAGTGATATACAAGCTCAATGTCGCATATGATTCAAAATTAAGTTTAATTTACGATATCGCTAGCTTATGCTATAGCGCAACAGCTTCTTAGTCTCATCACTATACTTTTTTTATGTCTGAAATATCTACTTTCATATCAAGCGGATTAATAGAAATAAACACATTCGACATATAAGGGCTAGGTGAACCCCTTTCTGGTATCAAACGACAACGTGCTGGTCGAAATATTTTGTTGAGATATCTTTTATAGAGACTAATATGGTATAAAGTCAAAGGGATAAAAAACCATACGCGATATCAGGAGGTTATGAGAAGGTATGAACCAATTCCAACCAATTTAAATCAGAGTTCTCAAATTGTACTATATGTTTTATTTCTATTTATTATTTGTGTCTAGGTAATTGTTGTACAAGCTTATGTCTTGCAGAATTAAATTATAAGAAAAGTAGGCGTGCTTGTTATGTGATTGGCTGATTTTAAAATTTCTTAAAATTAGTTGGTTCTTAAAGGTAGGCCACATCCTATAACTAATATTGGATCCAAACCAATTATTGTTTTATACCACTTCTCCAGTGTTTTTATTTAGACAGTTTCGAATAAATCCGTTATATAGAAGACGGTGACAAATGAAATCGATTTGAAGGTTGAGTCACACCCACTTTCCATGGCCGATATATTCCCCATATACTGGCTGATATAGCTTATAAAAGATAAAACAACTAGGCATACTGAAATATGTCTCATATATACGGAAGAAATAGTGAGGGATAATGAACGATTTCGAAAGATAATTGCAAACGGTCAATTCGATCTTAGCTTTGTTTCGACGCCCGAAGCCTAAATAACCTGATGGCATCCAAAGTTGAGTTTATTCATGTACTAACTAGTTTAATTTTATTCTTTCCAAACAGAGCTTAGAGACTGTAATGCATCGTATGTAATAAATGAAATCAATTTTTTAGTGCGAAAAATTATTCATTACAGCGACTGTACTTTTGTACATCATAAGCAAAACGTTTACTCAAAGCCTACAAATATACTAAACAGATGAACATTATTTAACAACCTAAATGGATTTTTTGCTCACACACACCCAATGTTCATGGTTTATTTGTATTAGCTTGTAATCAAAAAGCCTTAATTTTTGATAAGACGTCAAGGTACATATGTACTCACCGCGCCTGCTGTCATTCACAAATCATAATCTTGATCTATAAACAAACTGACGGCCTTATTATGCCAAGTACATACTGCTCACTAATTCAATCATATCTAATCATAAATTTAATCAAATCAATAAGACTTAAGCAAATAGATAAAGCATAGAACAATTGTAATATTAACTGATTGTCAAGTCCAAACGGTAAAGTGTATCTCGACATTTATGGCGCTTCTAAATCATTATTCCATGTAAGGCTCGTAAATCATGCTATCATAATATCAATTACTAGCTTACATTAATTGGCTTTGTCTGCATTGGCATTTCGAATATATTGACATGATGACACTTTCGTATAAATAGTGCTGTCACTACCGCAGACAATTTAAATCAAATCAATCATTTCATCGAAAATGCAGATCTTCGTAGTATTCGCTCTGGCTATTGCCAGTGTCAGCGCAGCCAATTTGGACGCTATTGCGCAGCCTGGCTTTGCATCAGGACGTATCATCAATGGCTACGAGGCTCAGAAGGGTGAGGCTCCATACATCGTCTCACTGAAGTCGGGTTCGCATTTCTGTGCTGGTTCAATCATCGATGAAAACTGCTCACTGTCTTGTCTACAACAATTTTGAAGTGGTCGCCGGTTTACATTCCCGCAATGACGAATCCGACGTACAGGTCCGTAAGGTTACAAGCAAGTCGCAGTATATCGTACACGAAGGTTATGGCGGTGGTGTCGGTCCCAACGATATTGGTCTCATCCATATTCCCGATGGCTTCGATTTGAATGCGCTCTCGCGTGATGGTGTAGCTCCTGTTAACAAAGTGTCCTTGCCATCTGGCAAATATGAGAGCACTGGTGATGGCAGACTCTTCGGTTGGGGACGTGATAATTCTGGTTATTTGCCAAATGTTTTGCAGACATTGGATGCCAATATTATTGGTTACTCGGAATGCAAAGCGGCTCTGCCCTTCTTGGCACCCATTAAGAATGTGAACATTTGCTCTTACAATGTTGGAACCACCGATGGTGCTTGCAATGGTGATTCTGGTGGCCCATTGGTGCGTTACACTTCCGAAGGTGCTGAGCAGGTCGGTATCGTATCATGGGGATACACTCCCTGTGCCACTACCAAATACCCCTCGGTCTACACTAGCGTCAGTGCTTACAAGAAATGGATCAATGAGAAGATCAACGCCTAGATATTGGTTCTGAACGACACGTATTTCAATAAAGACAACTCATCATAATTAAAAAGTAATAATCTTGTGGCTTAATCTATTTTATGAATTCAAACTAGAAATAAAAGGGTTAAGCAGATTCGAGATAGGCTACGGTAGAAAAGATATTTCACAAAAGACTGTAGGTAAGAGGCCAATTATAATCTTCATTATTGAGGATCAGCCCTAAAACTTAACTTAACTCAACGTGATCTGCCGGTCAGCAAAATAGGTAGATTGTTTTGACGATTTTTGGATGGTCTTATGTCGGTGGCACTATTTAATCCATTTTCAAAAAATTTTAAATATTTTTGATGTATATGAAGTGTCTTGTTTATAACTGATGCTCACGAAATACTGTTTCATCTTGGATTTTAAATTTAACATAATCTTGGCAACAGTTGTCAAACTATTAATGGTTTTTAATATAATTGATATCTGACTCTCCTACTCGTTTTCGTTTTTTTTTTTTAAATGAAATCGCCGGAAGTTGTTTTAACAATTTAGTATCTACAAATGTACTTGTTAAGCTACGCCGCTATGGCAATACGATCAAGCGTATACCCGTTATCTCTAAAAAACTCAACAAATTTTATTTTCTGTACAGTAAACTGGTCTCTTTTTTCCAAAACTAAGAAGAATAAGAAGTAAGAAGTATATCATCTGAAGCCAGTACGATGAGATGAGTAATTTATATAGAACTCTCCAGAGCACGCATGATTAAAATTTTTTCATAATTAAAAAAAAAAACTATAATCAAACCAACTTGTTATAAGGTACTATTAAATTAAGGGAAAGAGATGAAAATTACGATTCACACTATAGAAACATGACTAAAATGGTATAGGTCCAACAATTATGAAGTTTTCAAAATAAAATTTCGTTTTGCGTCCTAAGTGCAAATATTAGTTCAAATTTTCAAAAACTAATCTCTTTCCGATTACCACATGTTCGGGAAATAATTTGAAATATACTAACTGAACCAGGAGTCAATAGTTTGCCCATTTACTGAGTATACTTAGAATTAAAATGACCAGAGGAGTTCAGATTTATTATCGTTCATTGTCTCTAACATAACGATACCAAGACTAATATTACAATGATAAAAGATTATATTCTAAAAACCTACAAGAGTAGGGATTATTTAAAAGTTTATTCCATGTTAGAATTCATATCACTTTAGAGCATTAGAATGAATCCTCACAACAAATTTCTTCATTAATTAAAGTACTACTCGTAGGCTACTTAAAATATATACAAAAACGGTTACTATAAATTACAACAAAAAAAAATATATTTATATTGAAAACATAAATAAAAAAGGGCAACTCAAATCAAATTAATAACCGACATTGATACCTTATCAACTATGCTACTAATCCTTGATGATTTACTGTTGAAAACAGAATGGACAGATATACGATTTGTAATCAGCAACAAAAATCTTTCACCGTCATACGCTGATAAAAAAAATTTAGGGCAGGATTCATTTTTTTGTTGTTGAAAATCTGATAAGTGGTCGCCTTGACCATGATTCGACATTCGTATAAATACACCAGCAATTGCAATCAAACTTCAAACCAAACTAAACATTCAATAAAAAATGCAGATCTTCGTCGTTTTCGCTCTGGCTATTGCCAGTGTCAGCGCAGCCAATTTGAACGCTGTTGCGCAGCCTGGCTTTGCATCAGGACGTATCATCAATGGCTACGAGGCTCAGAAGGGTGAGGCTCCATACATCGTCTCACTGAAGTCGGGCTCCCATTTCTGTGCTGGTTCAATCATCGATGAAAACTGGGTACTCACTGCTGCTCACTGTCTAGTCTACAACAAATTTGAGGTGGTCGCCGGTTTGCATTCCCGCAATGACCAATCTGAGGTCCAGATCCGTAAGGTTAAAAACAAGTCGCAGTATATCATACATGAAGGTTATGGCGGTGGTGTCGGTCCCAACGATATTGGTCTCATTTATATTCCCGATGGTTTCAACTTGAATGCGCTCTCGCGTGATGGTGTAGCTCCTGTTAACAAAGTGTCTTTGCCATCTGGCAAATATGAGAGCACTGGTGATGGCAAACTTTTCGGTTGGGGACGTGATAATTCTGGTTCTTTGCCAAATGTTTTGCAGACATTGGATGCCAATATTATTGGTTACTCGGAATGCAAAGCTGCTCTGCCCTTCTTGGCACCCATTAAGAATGTAAACATTTGCTCTTACAATGTTGGAACCACCGATGGTGCTTGCAATGGTGATTCTGGTGGCCCATTGGTGCGTTACACTTCCGAAGGTGTTGAGCAGGTCGGTATCGTATCATGGGGTTACAATCCATGTGCCACTACCAAATACCCCTCGATCTACACTAGCGTCAGTGCTTACAAGAAATGGATCAGTGATAAGATCAACGCCTAAATTGTGCTAATATCAATAAATAACGAACATATATATTAAACAAGGTGTTTTAATTGCAAATATAAGTAGGTCTTATACGATTATAAGACTTTCGGTGTGTTTTGTTTGGAGCTTGTGTTTGATTTGCCGTAGAAACTTTTACTTTTTTTGTGGTACGATGCGTTGGCGCTTTTTATACTCTCGCAACCTGTTGCTACAGAGTATAATAGTTTTGTTCACCTAACGGTTGTTTGTATCACCTAAAACTAATCGATTTAGATATAGGGTTATATATATATATAAATGATCAGGATGAAGAGACGAGTTGAAATCCGGGACTGTCTGTCCGTCCGTCCGTCTGTCTGTCCGTGCAAGCTGTAACTTGAGTAAAAATTGAGATATCTTTATGAAACTTGGTAGACATGTTTCCTGGTACCGTGAGACGGTTGGTATTGCAGACGGGCATAATCGTACCACTGCCACGCCTACAAAACGCCATTAATCAAAAACAAATAAATTGCCATAACTAAGCTCCGCAATAAGATACTTGACTGTTATTTGGTACACAGGATAACATTAGGGAGGGGCATCTGCAGTTAAAATTTTTTTTTAAAGTAGGCGTGGTCCCGCCTCTAATAGGTTAAATGTGCATATCTCCTAAACCGCTAATGTTATAATAACAAAATTCACTGGAAGCTAATTTTTTTTAGAACCCCTACCCACAGTGTGAAAATAATTAAAATGGGGTGGCAACTCCGCCCACTCCCCATATAACGGTACTGTTAAAAACTACTAAAAGCACGATAAATCAAGCACTAAACACGCCAGAGACATTAAATTTCATCTCTGGGATGGTATGAGATGACTTAATAGGAACCGCGTTCAAAATTAGACAGTGGGCGTGGCACAGCCCACTTTTAGGTGAAAACCCATATCTTGGGATATGCTTAACCGATTTCAGTTAAACTCGGTGCATAACGTACTTTTCATATTTCGATGTTATAGTGCGAAAATGACAACCATGCCTATTTCCCATATAACACCATTTTCAATTCCATCTGATTCTTTCACTTTCCACTATGCATATTAAGCAACAATGATTTTATCGGGGTTAAACTTTGCCTGAATAATACGTTTAAAGTATGCCACCTTGTGACCAAAAATTGTTTAAATCGAACCAAAACTGTTCAAGCCCCTAAGTACTTAATATGTGGACCCCAGTGCCTATAGCTGACTTTTTACCGAAAATATCGGTCAACATAGAACAAGGCGGCAAGATCCACAAAGAAATCTCAAACGAGTATACAATTTGACTTTGCGAGAGTATAAAATGTTCGGTTACATCCGAACTTAACCTTCCTTACTTGTTTTTTATTTTTTTGAATATTTTGAGAAGTGAGGATTTCCAAAGCAATGTTGTATATTTTTCGAAGACTGTAATTAATAGGGTTTGGCTGAAAAAGCTTCATGAAACTAATAACTTTTAACTATTTGCAAATACTTTTACATTAGTTGCCCAGTTCTTAGACTAGAGATCCTTGCTCTTTAATTAATATATGATATACATATTTTATGGCGAATATCGGAAAAAATCGGATACTTCCTCTCAAGTTTAGGCCATACTTATTTTAAATTATTTCTTCATATTATTTAATAAAATTATTAGGAACTCAGTACTTACATCATCCCACTTGACGAACTTCTCGCCGTCTTGAAGCGCCTTCGGCACCTCCACCGGTCCAATGGAAACATATGTCGACGTGTTCAACATATTGCCAACAACACTTTATATTCACAAATATTTCGTCAAACAAAAATTTTTGCTCCACAAATGCCGGTAATGCATTGGTGCAAGCTGAAAACTCATACACACATATTTATAACGGCACTCATGAACACATACGAGAACAATTGCTGTTGTTGCAGCTTGCTTTCATTGCACCAATCGAGGTAGAGCTTTTGGGAAGCGTAATGAATAATAGCTATAAACGAGTGTTATGGCGACTATTACGAAAATTCGGTTTAAGTGTGATGCCAAATAAAATTCAGTTCATTTGCTGAAAAGTGTCGGCAGAGATAAACAGCACCAATGCAATGAAACACCAATTGTTTCAGGTTAACGACTATGCTTGGGTGGAACTTTTGTGGGTATGCCTTTGCTTCTGATGTTTCTATATTTGCTGTTGTAGCAAGAGTTTACTATTTTGTGGTGTTACTACATGGTATACTATGAGGAAGATTGGATTAAAAATTGGAACTGCATATAGTTGCCATATGTTGTTGTTCGCCGATTATCTGGAAAGAAATGAGATTTTCTTTTTATTAATTTAATAATAAGGTTTTTATTGCAAAATAATTAAAATTCTAATTGAAATACAAAAATAATTGTAAAAATAAAATAAAAAGGAATCGTCGGATTGCCTATGCCCGCCCATCCCACTGTAGATGTAAGCGAACTAGTCCCTCAGTTTTTAAACTATCGACCTGAAATTTTGCACACGCACTTTTCTTACAAAGAAGCTGTATGTCGGAATTGTCTATATCGAACCACTATAGCATTAAGTTGCCATGCAAACTGGACGATCGAAAGTCAGTACTTGTATGAAATCTTTTGTATTTGTGAAGAGTATTACAGCATCGGTGCAACTCAAGTTAACGTTTTTTCTTGTTTTGAAGTAATTTGTTTAAACGAATTTTTCGAGTCTTTAAACTGTGGCACCTTAGACTCAAGTTTATTCTACTAACATTGTTTCTTTATTATTAAAAAATTATTATTGTAAATTTTCAACAATGTAAAATGTATATACATATATTAAATGGTAACTGCAATGCCGTTATTCGTTTTATTTCGTAACACTGTCAGAATTAAAAATTCTATTTCGCTCGTCTTGTTATTGCAAAGCTGTACTGCTAGGAGGATTTCTGACAGTACTTTGATGATTGACAGGCCAATTTAATGAATGAATACGAGTATAGCGAGTTCAAAGGAATATTAAACTGGATTAAAATTACATTGAAAATACTTAGCAATAATGGCAATATTTGGAGTCAAAGTTTTTTTTATTTTGAAAAAAAAAGTAATTTTTTGTGTAAATGAAACATTCCTTTTCGAAATACAAAAAAACAAAACGCCAGATGTCAAAAAAAAAATGGGTAGTTATCCGCTCTTGGGTCTACACTATGCGAGACATTCATTCGTAAGTAGTTTGCCAAATTCCGTACATATCAAACGAGCAACAAAGATGTTAAACGCTGTGAAATCCCAAAAGAGATGGACGAAAGCAGAAAAAAAAATTTAAATGTACTTCATTTAATAATGTATGTATGTATGTATATGTATGTATAATATATGCAAAATACATGCCACTTGGCTTCATAGTCAAGATCAATGCGCCGTGTTTCAAATCAATAAAAAACGATGGCAAATTTTATTTTATGTACTTCGATGTCCACAATGTTCACCGAAGCTGCGACAATTCCTGACCTCAGACCTGATGAGAAGGGTCTCCAAGACTCCGATCTATTTTGAGGCAAACGACAAATCAGTGAAAACGATAGAAAATGACAACGGATTTTTTTAAAAAGTCTTTTCCGATCATATTATCAGCAACTGTCACCTCATTCATGGGAAGGGCATTTTACAAATTCACAATAGCAAAATCTTACTTAGATCTCACCTCAAGTATATGGACAGATGTATCAATTATAATGAAATATAACATGATTATGTCTTGCCACAAATATCTCACTAACCAGAGAACACATTACATTTCTTTGATGTTTACGAAGGCAGTTAATGCGTTTGTATGAGTGTTTGCCTCTCACGCATTTAAAAAAACTACCAACCAATAAAAGCAAATTATTTGCATCCTCCGGTACTTTTTATTATTTCATAGCGGCGTGAGAAAACGTGAGCACACATATACACAAAATCATCCACACATACATGCATATAAAAACAAATAGCAAAAGGTACAAGCTAAGGAATTTAGATGATGCTATATACACTCTTAGGAGGGATTTTAACTTATGAATAACTATGTTTTGAGCTAGGCGCCAGCACCAATACATTAAAAGCATATTGCAATGTGACGACAGGATGTCAGGAAGCCAAAGTAATAAAATCATGGCACGACAATGTAAAACTTTGTAAATTACCGCATCCACTGTTGTACGCCGCGCCCACCATTCCCGGTCAATCACGAATTTTAGCATCATCGTCATTACTATGCGTAAGGAGGCAAGGGTAGAGTGTAGCAGAATGCTGCGTGCGTCAAACAGCTTCACAGGCGGTCACTGTGCTTTCTGCTGCGGATGGAAGTGAAGGTGGTGGTGACGTTTGAGCCTTGTAGCCTTTTGCTAACGCATGTTTGCTACTTTAACGGCAGATGCAAAGTGTAAAACGTTGGCTCGTCGGTACGGTAGTGGAATGTCTCAAAGAGCGAAACCATGACAATAATTTAATTTATGGTTCCCTTACATAAACCATAATAATTCCTGTGCTACGTCTTCCTTTTATACTACCTTACAAATATATGTATACACTCTTTCGATCTCTTTCACACTGCACGGCTTTCTAAAGTGCTTGTAGTTGGTGCAAATGCGGAACCACAGCTGCAGATTCAATATTCCTCTTGGTTTGGGTGAATGCATAACTGCCTGGTTTTTAAATTATATATTATTAATAATGCAAATCAAATTTACTTAATGGCTTTCTGAATATAATTTAAAAAAAAGTTAAATTATTTCTTTGCTCGCTACTCTCTTGTCAAAAAATTGACATCTGCAAGCATACACACAGTGAGCAAGTCGAATTTCGAGAGAGTATTCATATATCTCATTTAAATCGTGTCGAATTTCGAGAGAGTATGCAGATATCTCATTTAAATCGTGTAGATGTTCTCATAAATGCTACCTAGTTTTATTTTACAGACTTTAGAATACTTTTACTATTGTGAGAAAATAATAATTTTTTATTTAAAGAAATTAAAATTAAGATATTCGATATTTTGATATTCTTATATCAAATTAAATTTGGCAAAGTAAGATAGCTGGCAATCCCTAATTTATTGAATTGACCTTTTTTAATGTAAACGGGAACTTTGTCCGAAACCTGTTTCAGTTAAACTTTTTTTGTTGTCAATTCCTTGTCGGCAAACCAGTCTGGTTGGGACCCTTAAAAAGCACAGTCTCGAACGGGGCCTACTTGTAAGTGAGGTCGCTAGTAGTGCATATGCCAAGGAATAGTCTATCTTTAAGGACGATGACCCAGTTAAAGCAAGGTATGCGGAGTAGCGTCGTGCTGCCTATCTGCTCACAAGAATACTTGAACAGCCAGCAGTGAGGGTTATAAATAAGCTATTTCAAAACATACTTAAAATAAAAGAGCTCTCAGAATGATTTATAGAGAAAAGGCATAGTTTTCAATACATTTAGGACGCAACTCAACTCAACTCTCTAAAAAATACAAATTCACTTCTGACTCTAATATGCTTCAAGTGGCAAATATTATATTACACCCACTCATTTACCAACTTATATACCTTTATATACATAGTTACAGTGTTTTGAAAATTATATGCCCTTTGGGTATCCCTCGCGCTTTGTTACGTATAATGCACTTAAAGCACTTATGTGTGCCTTATCTGGAAAATGGCAACAAAAATCACATTAAAATAATTGCGTTACGATGCCATTTGCAGGGAGTTGTTTACTTCTTAGAGAGAGGATGCTCGAATTTGGAATTTTTCTTTGCTGTCACTGAGCAATTGAAAAGTGGTGAAGATGATTGTCACTGAGAAAGGTACGCTTGTTTTATGGCGAAAATGATGCTCAACGAGAAAATCACTAAATACAGTATCACTTTCTTTGGTTTCTTTGGTACTTGGAATTACCCATTGCATATCCTCAGCAAGCGAAACCATCTGAGAGTTTAATCGCGTATTTAACGAAAAAGTACACAGTTTTGTTTATTTTATAGCCTGTTTACTTAATGAACATAATGTATATATATGAGTATGTACCGTTTAAAAAAATAAATAAAATACTGACGAAAATGTAAAGAAAATACACCAAATCGCCTACGATGGCTGCCCACCGGAAATCCGAGGCAAATCCCTCATTCGGTATTTTGACGATTACAACAAGAACTACGTAAGATGAGAGTGTTGAGACTGAATTTGTGCTTCTCGAATGTAGGAATAAATATAATTGATGTTAAAAACCTGCATTTAGTATAAAATTTGGATGATTAATACACATTTTGGACTGCTAGCAGCTAGAATATACTGTGCCAATCGCTACACAGAAGATAATTTCAAAAACCAAATTTTACAATTCTGCCTTTCAGGCCCAAATTTTGGCATTAACAAAAGCTTTCATGTGGATTTCTTTTTCAATAATGGTGATCTGCTGCGCCGAGATAAAGTGTCACTGTGAAGAGTTTTGTTAAGAATGAAACGAAAAAGCGGACGAGTTGACTCACACTAATATGATGGAGAAATCAGTTCTGATAAGGCCTCTTAGCTCTTTCAAAGGCTCCTCGAAGCATAGAACACACCACATATTTACTGTAAGGTAGTGTGCATAGTAGACAGGCCAACGACTTACGAGTATATTTACTTCTATGAGAGGGAGAAATTATAAAAATGATAGACTAAGTTACCGGGCACTTAACACTGAAAGCTCGTCTTCGAAAACTTGGTGAAGCGAAATTAGAATTGACAGAATACCATGAAAAGGGTTTATTAAGGTTGTCACGAAGTTTGTAACACCCAAAAGGAAAGATAGGAGACTCTATAAAATATGCACAAAATATAATGATCAGCGTGACGAGCTGAATCGATTTGGCCATGTCCGTCTGTATATCAGTCTGTCTCTACACATGTGAACTAGTACCTCAGTTTTTAACAGATTACTCTGACATTTTACACACGTCCTTTTCTCCTGAAAGAGCTTTTTATTTGTCGCAACCGCCAATATCAGACCACTATAGCATTGTACTGCTATATAAACTGAACGATCAAAATCATGTCCTTATAATACAATATTTTTTAATTAACGAGGTATCTTCATGAAATTCGGTATGTATTGTTGTCCAAAGAACGACGGTACAATCTCCAACGAAATCGTTTAAATCGGATCACTATAGCTGTCCTACAATTCAACCGATCAATACAAATTCCTATAAGGAATATTTTGTATTTGTGAATGATATTATAATGAGTTTGATGTTTGTTTTTTTTTTGTTTTTTTAATATTTTGTCCATTTGTAAATTTTTGTAATTATCTTCGTA